TTGGACGTTTTATTTGTGATTGGTTTTTGTTGACTTTTTAATATGATAGTGACGTTTGGATGTTTTCATCAGTGTTGTGTTTGTTTTTCCACAAAAGGTGGGAAAAACTATACATAGTAAAGAAAGACCCTTATACTCAAGGTATTGGCTTTTTTGAACGCGAGAAAGAAGTCAGCCATTTTGTAATTCCTGTGGACACTACAAAAAGTATTCATTAAGCTCGTGAACATGAAAAAGTCAATAAAAAGTTTATGATTCCGGTGGATCAACCAATAAATAGAACTTGTGCGGCTACTGGTATATCCAAACGAAAATTGATACGAATAAAACAACAAATTAAACCAGTAATGCCGTCTATTTCACCGGTGCAGAGTACTTCAACGTCTACCCCAATACCCGGACCATCAACACCTGGCAAAAAGCGAAAATAGAGTAAAAATGTAATCGCTCTAAAAGAAATTGGTCAACAGTTTTTACACAGTACGAAAAGAAGTCCCAACGCTTAAGAAAATATTAGCCGCTGCCAAAAAGGACTTGAATTTTTCAGGTACGTTTGTGTCTTTTTTTGTATATCTTTAGTTAGCGAGTGTAATCGTAGTTAATCGTACGTACGGAAGGCCGTGTCAGACTTTTAACTGACTAAAACCCACCCGTGTTCCGTCCGTGCCCTTAGACCAAATAATAACCAAGACAGAGGGCTGTCAACAGTAAAGCGAAGCCGGTTTCGTAATCATGTGTGAACTTAGTGAGCTGTAGTTTGATTGTAAATGGTTGCAAATGCGTGCGTGTGAGCGTGTATGCACAGAGCGGAGGTGTAGTTTTGGCATGTTTCGCTGTATTGTTCGCAGGATACGTAATTTGATATCGCGGAAGTAGGTAATTGCTAATTATGAAGCATCATTTATATGATTTTTTTAAATGTGGTTAAAAAAACTGTTAAAAGTCACTACATATGTAATACATATAAATAAAACATTATTTTTAATGTTAATATATCTATGACGCAATGTGGTGCGGGGTATGGGCATTGTCCTTTAAGAAATGCAAGAATGCCCGATTGGTTTTGATACAAAAGCCCGATATCACTGCTTGGAGGGCTCGCTACCTGCGGCGAATGTAAGAAAACAATGACCTCGGAGCGGACAAAAAACCGGTGATGTATTTAGACGAGACGACGACTATGACGAAGACGGAATGTATCCAACATTCCCACTATACAGTGAGAAAATGCTGGCAAAATAGCAGCGATGCTAGTATAAAGAAAAATGGCAATCCTGGTCAACGCTGGATTCTCGTCCATGCGGGTGGTGAAAGCGGTTTTACCCCTAGGGCCGAATTACTTTACAAATGCAAAAGTAAGACAGGTAATTATCACAATGAGACGGACACCAAAAATTTTGTCAAGTGGCTCAACGAAAAATTGTTGCCGAACTTGCCTCCGAACGGCATAGTTGTGATTGATAACACGCCGTACCACTCAACGCAGTCTGAAAAAAATACCATGTCAGTCGTCACTGACATGTGAGATGCAAAGCTGGTTAACCAAAAATAATATAAATTTTGATGTAAGAATGACAAAACCAGAACAATTCCAAATAATAAAAGTAAATAAACCAGAAAAAAAATATTTGGCAGACGAATTATTAAGAGAGCATGGCCACGAAGTCGTACGTCTGCCGCCCTACCACTGTGATTTTAATCCAATTGAATACATCTGAAATTTGGTGAAACAAAGGGTGGCAGACAAAGATCAGTCATAAAGACAAATAGAACAATTGACAAGAGAATCAAATCAATTAATAACTGCTGCACACTGGAAAAAGAGGTGAACCATGTTCGGAGACTGGAGGAAGAATATTAGGTTAAAGATCGACTCCAAGAAATCAATGAAAGAGAATTTATTATTGCACTTGGAGATGAAGGAAGCTCTGACAGCGAACCTGAGGAAGACGAAATTGACAGCTCTATTATGCCTGGCATAGAAGCGTTAGGTGACGATTAATTATTATAATAAATAGATGTGTATAACATTCTTTTTTAGTTTTATTTCTCTATCTCTGTGCCAAAATTCATCCAGATCCGTCAGCCGTTGTGGCGTGATTGAGTACGGACATCCATCCAAGTTTTCCCATTAATTAAGATAATAATAAATGTCATTATGAATATGGAATCTTATTACAATGGCGATATTCACAATAATAGCAAATACTAAACTAATTCATCAGCACACATTATAAAATTTTCAGCTTCTATACCGTTAAATAGAGTCTTAGGTTTTGCAGAAGACTATGAAAAAATCATAATGAATTGTAAACACGAATTGGTACTGTTGAGGAGTAACACTAATGTTAATGCTTTGAAACTAGATGTTGAGGAAGTTGTAGAGGATATAATAATAAATAAAATTGTATGGCGGGTTCCTCATGTCAAAGTGTTGGACCGCGAAAGAATTAGTTTATTAAAACATTTAGAAAAAGATCGTGCTATTACGCTTGCATTTAGAAATTGGGATTTGTATGAGTATCCTTTATTACCTAAAACACGTAAACATAATTGGTCCATTAAAACTTCATCTCAGATCGAGAAACCGCGGTAACTAATCGCAAGCATAATGCACAATTATCAATGGCAGAATTCGATCATTGTTACATACGTGACATAAGAGTATTTCTAAATTCATCCTACTATCCTTATGAAAGCTTAAACATCGATTTCTCTAATAACATGTTTTCATTAATATACGAACAGTATGCAAGGTTTCAGCAGTCTTATCATGCTCGTCGAGCAGAACCGTTGATGAGCATAAAAGAATTTAAAGAAATTGCTCCGTTATTTGTCATTGACTGTTCACGCCAGCACGAAACACTTAAGGGATCAATCGATGTGCGAGTTGAAATCGAAACAGATCAAGAGATACCTGACCAAACCGCTGCTTACTGTCTTATATTGAACGATTGCATTTTCGAATACAAGCCTTTGAGTAATATTGTCAAAAAAATATCATGAACAATAATACAATATTCGTAGATGTGCAAGGATTTAAGGATTTAAAAAATATTTTTATTGTCAAAGAGTTAGCAATAGCGTATAAAGATCACACGCAGACATTCTTAGTCAAACCACCCTATTCTTTTAAAAATCTGTCATGTGAAGAAAAGAAGCAAGTTCGATGGTTGGAAGAATATCGAGGTCTCTATTGGAGTGAAGGATACATCGATTATCGCGAATTCAGACGAGTTGTAGTTCCCTATTTGAGTGGTAAAAGAGTCTTCACAAAGGGACTTGAAAAAATTGAATGGATCTGAGACTTGTGTCAAGATTGTGAAATAATAGAACTAGGCGAAAAAGGATGTCCTAAGCTATTAAAATTGTATAACAATTACTGTCAGAAAGATAATAAATTAATGAATTGTGTGTACCATAAAAATAATTGTGCGTTAAAAAATGTATTATGCCTCAAAATGTGGTACAATGACAACTTTATTTATGATTTTTTCTAGTAATAATTTAATCAAAAAATGATTTTACTGTTATAATGAATTCAATATGGAATAAATTTTGCAGATGAGGATTTTTTACGAAGCTTTCGTAAGCATTTGGGATAGGCCCAAAATGGAACATATTGTCCAACAAACGAACCAGTATGCGCAAGAACATGCCGCTCATCTCCTTGAGACAGGGCAAATGGGGCCAAATAGTAGGATGAATAGGTGGCGCGATACAAATGTGGACGAGATGTACCCTTTTTTTGGCCATGTTAACAGCGATAGGCGTTGTTGTTAAAGGCAAACAAGACAAACCTACAGTCATCAAGGACTACAATGTCTGTATGGGGGGGGGGGGGGGTAGACAAAAAAGACCAAATGCTGGCAGCTTACCCTTTGGAACGTAAGAGGACCCATGTTTGGTATAAGATTTTTTTTAGGAAACTCCAAAATGTGAGTGTCTTGAATAGTTATATACTATTCAGATCACATACTGCAATTGAACACCAAGATTTCTAGATTTTAGGAGGGACCTGGTCTTTGAAATTTTGAGCAAGCATTCCGTCTTGCCTGATGTGAGAATGACATCATTCCGTGGGAAAAAAAAGTTTACGGCAGAAGTTATGTCGCACATGCCAAAGATGCTCCCAGTGGATGGTAATATTCACGACCGAAAGAGGCGCCAATGCGTTGTCTGCAAAGTAAAAAGGACCCATATTCGATGCAATGCATGTAATGTAAACTTGTGTTACGATTTCACAGACACTAGTTGCTTTATGCAATACCATAATTAAAGACGCTTGCGATACCAGATTTCATCACCAATCCATTTGTATCACGGGCACCATAGCACAAAGACGCTTGCGATACCAAAACTCACCAAACTGGGGCTCATTTGCACCACGGACACCATAGCATAAAGACGCTTGCGATACCAAAACTTACTTACCAAACTGGGGTTGATTTGCACCATGGGCACCATAGCATAAAGACGCTTGCGATACCAAAACTTATATACCAAACCTTAGGGTCCATTTTTATCACCGGTACCATAGCATAAAGACGCTTGCGATACCAAAACTTACTTACCAAACTGGGGTTCATTTGCACCATGGGCATCATAGCATAAAGACGCTTGCGATACCAAAATTTACTTACTAAACTGGGGTTCATTTGCACCATGGGCACCATAGCATAAAGACGCTTGCGATACCAAAACTTACATACCAAACCTTAGGGTCCATTTGCATCACCGGCACCATAGCATAAAGACGCTTGCGATATCAAAACTTACTTCTTTAGGGTCAATTCAGTCAGTCATTTGTACCCCACGTTTTTAGGTCTTTTTTGGTCTACATTATTTGTATTTGTGTTATGGAAAATCGGAAACAACCTTGCTCGGTATTTTGGTCTAAAGCATTTGTGTGTGTTATGGAAAATCGGAAACAACTATGAAACTATTATGGTATTCCTCGTCCTCATCAAATTATAAGCACTTGTGAGGACTTGAAACAGCCAAGACTGGCCTTGGTTATAAAACACTTGTGTTTTGGAGGATTACTACTTCCGGTCGTTTGGAGTCAAGAAGAAGAGATAGTGAGTTTAGAAATGAGCGGAGAACCCAAGACTTTTCATTTAGAGGAAAGCGGATTCGTAGCGGACAGTCCAGCCCCAGAGGAGCGTTGGCTAAGCAACTTCAGCGAACGGGACTTGGACGTGATTACTTTGGTAGTGAAAAAACTGTAGCTAAAATAAAAAAACTTTATTGATTCCCTTGTTTTACTTCCAACTCCTTCAGGAGATATTGTTTAGACAAGGGAATTAAGCACATTCTAAATGCAGTTGCTAGTCCAAAATCTAATGGTCAAGTGGAGAGATATCATCGCACAAATTTAAATTCCTTAAAGGCCCAAAATTTAAATAATAATGAGAAAGAATGGAACTATCAGGTAGGTAAAATTCAATGGGGTATGAATAATACCAGGCAAAACCACAGGGAGGATGCCTGCAGAAGTAATGTTCGGTACCGATATTATAGGTAATATGAACCCTTCTTTAAATGAAATATCGCAAGAGACAAGGGAGCGTATCGACTTAAATACTATTAGAAAAAATGTCAAAGATAAAATTGATATCGAACAAATAAAAGAAAAAGCTTATTATGATAAAAACAGGCGTACAATGAGGGAGATCTTGTCAAAATAACACAAACATCATTTACTAATGATGGTAAAAGCAAAAAGTTGTTGCCATCATGTAGGTCCTTTCAGAATACTAAAGGTGTTAGGCAATGACCGTTACAAAATTAAATCAATACCAGGGTTCAGTAATATGAAACACAAGCGTGGATCCACGGTCGCTGCAGATCGAATTAAGCCTTGGGTTCATGTGGCTGCCCTGCAAGTAAATGATGATTATGATTCTGATGATGATGATGATATCAAGGCATAGAATGTTTATTTGAAATTAATAAAATAGTTAAGTAATTGTTGTTAATAATAAGTAAAGATGTGTCAATGGATTAATGTTATTTAATATTTTGTTACTTTTACTGTATATGTGATGATTTTGAATTTTAATGAAAAGAGTGATGATTTGGAACTTTACTTGAATAACTGGTATCATGTAGAAAATCATTTTTTAAGTTCTACTTTTTGTTCTTTAGTATTATGAACATTGAACAGATTGTGAGATATCGTTCACCAATGATTAAAATTAAATATTATTACTGTGAGAACATGATTGTTCAAACAAAAGAAAGTGTATTAGTGTGAAAACAGGTTTGCTCACCAAAAAAAAAGTGTATAATTGTGAGAACAGGTTTGCTCACTGTGATCATATAAAGCGAGAACAGGTTTGCTCGTACTAAATTTGTTTATTTTTATGTTAAGTGAGAACAGATTTGCTGACTCATTGAGAATTGAAATCAAATTAAATAAATTTTGTAGAATTAGGTCAAATATTTGCTCCTAAGGATTAAATGTAATGGTATTGTTAAAGGATATCCCAGCCAGCCGAGTATTAGGTTATCACATAATGCGTGTATATACATCAGGATGGACGACTGTTAGGTTCAAAGCCTTGCCGTGTTTCTAATTTCTTGTTTCTAAAAATATATATTAATAAGTTTGTACTTTTTGTATCTGTGACTCTATGGTCATACGATTTGGCTGTATGGATTGCCTCCTTTTTCTTTTTAAAAGAAAATGAAGTCTTCCCAATACGTCAAATGGGAGGTAGACAGTATAAAAGGAGGTCTATTGCCTAGCTCGGAGATTCTTGGACTGAGTGTTGAACTATACAGACTAGGAGTGGGTGATACAAAACGTATATAGATATTGAATCTATATATTGGTGCAATATCTAAAATCCGATATCGGCTTAATCTGAATCTATATATATCGGGCGAAACACTATATTGCTCTATAACGCATATCCGAGGGCGAGTATGATGCTAGTCGTATCGTATTGAACCGATTTACCGAATAAACACCGAGTATACACGATGTGACACGATCTCTACCGACGAAATAACTTAGCAGCCGGCCGAGAGAGGGAGCGCGTGATTAATGAAACCAACGTAGCTTAATAATCCGTAGGTACTATTCTGAACCTTATGTCAAATGCAATAAGTCTGTTTGAAGAATGTTCTAGTATTTTGGCACGATTGTGAAAGGAATTTCAACTTTCAACTTTGTTCTAAAGTAGTAATGATGCATATTACATTACATAATATGCAACGATTTATTAACTTCGCGCATGACGCTTGGCCTTGAACTAGAGAGCGAAGAAATTTTAAAATTCTATTTTTAGTTTCGTGCTAGCAATTATTGAGTGAGCGCATTATTGTTGTTCCTCATTATTACTTATTTACGAATGTTTTGAAATTTATTTGATTTGATTTTCTGTTAATTTGTGTTAGTTTAGTATTTAAAACAGTTTAATTTCTTAACTTGTGTATTAATGTGTGTAGGTATTAAGGTGTAAATAAAATTTAAGTGTAAAAATTAGAGTAGGTACTTATATTGAAACACTTTGTGACTCGTGTTAAAAACTATTTTTAAAAATGTCTCGTATAAATTCGAGTATTTTATGGGACTATTTTGACAAAACAAATTTAGTCGACAAAAAAGCCAAATGTCGTGTTTGTGGTGACAGTTATAGTTATAAAGGTACGACAGGCAATCTAAAGGCACATTTAAAAAAAAAGCATTTAGATGCTTATACGAGAGTTGCTACCGGGCAGCAAGATATTAGGACTTCCCAAACTGCCTCAGCAGATCAGATTATTGCCGCAGATACATCTGCAACAGTGTCAACATCGGCTACAATAACTACGTTAGCAAACCCGACACCGTCAACTTCAACAGCAGCGCATCCAACAGTTTCACGCCCACGTCACGTAAGACAACAAGGTATAGAAAGATATGGCGCCCCTAAAAAAATATCTGGTGACTTGAAAAGAAAGATCGACAATGATGTACTAGATTTATTCATAGATAGTTATCACCCCTTTACATTAGTAGAGGAACGAGCTTTTAAAAAACTTATGCGCTGGATTCCTGGGTATCAACTCCCGACTAGAAAAACTATTTCTAACGTCATGATTCCTGCCTTGTACAATAAAACCGAAGAAACTTTAAAAACAACGACATTGGGCAGCATTGAACATTTGTGTCTTACAGCTGACTTATGGACATCAAGAGCCAATGAATCGTATTTGGCTGTTACCTGTCATTTTATCACGGAGGAGTTCGAGCTAAAGACCATCTTGCTGGACTGTTCTAATTTCGAGGATTCTCATACGAGTGAAAACATTCAGAGTGTGTTAACTGATCTAATAAGTAAATATGAATTAACATTAAACAAAATTAATTTTATAGTAACTGATAATGCGGCCAATATTCAAAGAGCGGTTACTAACATCGGTTGGAAGCATTATGGATGCTATGCACACACGCTAAACTTAATTTTACAGAATGCCATTACAAGAGAGCAGACCCTACAGTCCGTATTAGACAAAGTAAAAAAAATTGTGCGCTTTTTCAAAAAAAACAGCACCGCCTTAGAGAAATTATTAAAAGCACAAACTAATGACCAGCCAAACTGCGTACCAAAACGCTTGATTCAAGAAGTTCCGACGCGCTGGAACTCCAGCTTTCACATGATACGGCGTTTCGTGGAACTGGAACATTGCATTAGGTCTACAGTTGCAGTCATCAGAAAGGACCTTCCCATTATTACCAACGAAGAGTGGTTGCTACTTGCCGAAGTCACAAAAATATTGAAACCGTTCGATGATGCGACAGAATCGATGAGCGGCGAAAAGTATATGACTGGTAGTTCAGTCATAGTCATGACACGGTGTCTAATAACATCATGTGACAAACTCCTGGACGAAGAATTCTGTGATGTATCTAAAGAGCTAATTTACACTTTAAGGACAGGACTAATAATCAGATTCTCCAATCTTGAAAGAAGTGGAACATTTTCGGTATGTACATTTTTAGATCCTCGATACAAACTGGCTGTCTTTTCTGACGAAAATGAAATTAGAAATACTAAAAAACGAGTTCAGGACTTACTAAGTGGAATTATAGCGCAGGAGAGAGCGCAAGAACAGGCACCCGTCTCGGCATCTGAGGACCACAACAATGCTGACAAGTTTTCCCCATGGACAATTTTAGGTGAAATAGTGGGAAAAAAACAAAATGTCGGGACACCGGTGTCAAAAGCCATTAAAGAAATAGATGGCTATTTGAATGACGACCTATTGCCAGTTTTCACAGGAACTACGTGGAATTGCCCTCTCGAATGGTGGCGCAAACATAGGTTTACGTATCCATATTTGGCGAAACTGTTAAAAAAATATGGAAACATCATGGCGACGTCAGTTCCATGCGAGAGAATCTTTAGTAAAACGGGACTAATTATAAATGATCGTCGCACTCGACTGACAACATCAAAAGTGAACCAGCTCGCATTTTTAAACGTAAATCTGGATGAAAACAGATTTAAATAAATAATATTTTAAACTACCCAATGCTAAACAATAACGTAAATAGTTAAAAATGTAAATAGACAATGTAAATAGTTAAAAATGTAAATAGACAATGTAAATAGTGTAAATATAAAAAGTTTGTATATATCATCAAATGAACTGTTAAATACGCCTGCATTATTTTATCGGTCGGCACCTACATTTAGGTATAATTTATTATAAAACTTTTCATAACAGACAATAATGCAGCCAGTCCTAAGCCTGGTAAAAGTATGAAGGACAGTTCATTAGATGACGATTGTATGTTTTCTCTAACTACGTAATAGGCTTTTTCATCACGTGAAATTAGTGATGTTTGGAAACTTCAGCTAAGTATCTAGACAAAACCGTTGTTTGTAATTTAGCTCCCTAGAGATTATAAATCGTGTTACGATATTTACAATATCGCATACCTAGGTGGTTCTCACAATATGCTTTATGGAACGATACAACATCATGAGACGGATTATGCGTATCTGTAAATATATAGTTTCAGAAAATATATAGTTTCAAAATCCAATATCAAATATCAATATATAGTTTCGATTTGATATTGTGAAAAAGCGATATTACCCACTCCTAATACAGACGTGCACACGTTGTTGGAATAAACGATACTTCTAAATACCTGAAGTGTATTTTACTTGAGACGTTATAAGTGTTAATATATATACAATCATCAAGAATCAAATCAATTTTGCAACTAGAGTGATGTCACGTGACCCGGATAACATCAAGTCAATTATTGTAACTTTCCTTAACAAATATGTCAAAGAAGACTTTCCAGCACCTTATAGGAATGTATCAAAACCAGACCAAATAGTACCTGCACTATTGAATTTGCAAGGCAATCACAAAATTTTAGTGAATTATTACTTAACTGTACATAACAAGATGCTTCTATCTTAGTTGAAGAAAATTGTAGCTGAGATACGTATGGGTGATACATATATTGCAAGATATACGTGCGACTAGAAGATACGTCAACAAAGTACACTCGGCGTCAAAAAAATCGCACCTCCGCGAAAATAACTTTCAAGCGTTATTAACCCTTAACACGCGCATGTACCCCCACCAATATTGGTGTCATTTGAGATCCCGTTAACCTTCTATTGCATACAAAGCCATTTTAGGCTGCTCAACTTTAATTTATTTCTACCCTAATTTTAAATATTTTTTTTTAATTTCACTATAGTAATATTGAGAAATTAAAACTGAAACGAAACCTAATTTTTTTGTCTAGGGCCAACGTTGTATGTCATTATAAGCTCACTTTTCTGCGGTACGTACGCGAAGTCGTTCTTTGTGAGTGCAGTTTTGTTGGTGGAAATTAAATAGAAAAGGTAAGAAATTGATGTTAAAAAATGTAAATAATATTCTGCAAAACCTCTGTTTTTGACCCCTATCACAGTTTATTCTAAATATTTGTTCCTTATACTTCATTTACACTATTTTCTACGGGAGCCAATTTTGGCTTAGTGTGCATTTACGATGAAGTATGCTTGCGCCTAAATTGGCTTCGCATGCATTTAGAGTTTTTTTTCTAGCTTTCTAGAATGCTTCCATCACGCTTTTATGGCACTGCTAACTGCATTAAATCTATTCCTGGTGATGGCTCTCTTAGTAACGATGATTCATTATCTGATTCCGATGACGATGTTCCGCTTTCGCGCTTGCGCAATCAAACATTTAAAAACTTCCGATATTTCCAATGACGAAATACTTGATCCTAGGCCTAAAACTTTCAAACAGAAGCGAGCAGTTAAGGAAAAAAATTTCTGGTCCAAAGGCCAGTGTATGATGAATACAATTTCAATTTTAGTGGTATCCTGGATCCTATTATCAAAGTTTACTTAGGAACTAGAATCACCTGCCTAATTTATCCATTTTTTTTCACAGAAGATTTGATAATATTTATTACGGAACAGTCCACTTGGTTGATATATATGCAGTTAATGCTTGGTTACTGTGGCGACGCAAGACTGACCTTTACATGTCACTATTTGACTTCCAGCTCGCTATTCCTGAACATTATTGCAAGGCTGGCAAAAGCATCTCAAGAAAAAGAGGCCGTCCTAGTATCAGTAATCCCGGTACAACTACTTTGTCTAGAGGAAATACTCCTACGCCAAGTAGAACGGGTACCAGTAAAAATGTATCCCTCGCTCCTCGAAAAAGGGCACGGAAAACCCCAGCAAAAGTGCAAGACCTACCTCTAAATTCAGTACGTAGAGACAAAATTAACCATTTACCGATACACTGAAAGAATCGTCAAATATGTCTGAATTATTGTTCTTCGCGTCCTCATATAAAATGTGAGAAATGTGACTTTTTTCTTTGCTTGAATGAGAAACCTGGTATGAGTTTTTGGTATTTGTTGTGCATTGGAAGCCAAAAATGGCAGTCTTATACACAGACGTTATTGCATGGGAAGCCAATTTTGGCTTCTGTTTTTTTTTTCCAAAATAAGATACTATATTTTTTTTTTCACTTTATATTGTAACCTTGAAAATCAGGGGTTAAAGAAAACCACTTTTCAGATTGTGTTTTTACGTTTTTAATCGATCAACTTTAGTTTTTTTTTAAATAACTATATTACTAGTTTAATTGTGTGATCACTTGTTGCTAGGTGTCGCAAGAACTAAATAAAATTAAAAAAAAGAAAAGTGGAAGCGGCACGGATGAAGTTTATAAAAGCAATTGGCCATACTTCTCTGCACTCCAATTTTTGATCCCTGGACTTGTTAATAGATCTACGACATCAAACATTGTAAGTAAACAAGTATAATGTTTTTTTATGAACCATTGATGTGTTTATTTTGCACAAATTATATCCAGCATAAGTGTAGAATACATTTGTTTCGATTTTTTAGCTAGATGTGTCTGTATTGCCATGAAACTTCTCCAGGGCCAGTTAGAAAATAATCTTTAAATTCATCTCTTACATTTTTTTGAGGAGTAGTATAATTGTGTGCCGTTCCTTGATGCAACGAAAAAAACGAGTTTTCGGGGCTATCGTTACGCCAATCTCCAGGTCGGATATTCCGATTTTCTGTATCTTCAGTATCGATAGATCCAGGATAAAAGTAGGCTGAACGTGATTCGTTCGTGGATAACAAAAAATTATGCAGCGTACATATCGCCAGTACAATATTTTCTACCGTATTGGGGCAAAGATTGATAGGCCTTCGTAGAACTCGAAATCTATTGGCAATAATTCCAAATGCATTTTCCACAATTCTACGTGCTCTTGAGAGCCTATAATTGAATACTCGATTTGGTGCTGGTTGATTGCGGAAAGGATAGGGTTTTAAAATATAGGACTTCATTGCAAATGCATCATCAGCCACGAACACATAGGGAACGGGAATTTCTCTTCCAGGCAAAGGTTCTGGCGGTGGTAATCGCACAGTGTTTTCTTCCAAACCTTTTTTCAGAGACGAATTTTCGAAAACTCCACCGTCAGATGCTCGTCCATTACACCCCACATCTATATATGTAAATTTGTAATTCGCATCGACGGTCGCCATCAGAATTATGCTATGAGTTCCTTTGTAGTTATAATAAGTACTTCCACTATTGTTCGGAGCTTGGATAACAATGTGTTTACCATCCAGTGCACCTAAGCAATGAGGGAAATTCCATCGCGCATTAAAATTTTCAGAAATTTGTAACCAATCTTCTGCACTATTCGGAAACTGAAAGGAATTATAAAAATAATATGAATACTGTTGCTTTATAAAAATTTCACACAATATATGAATAATTGAATCACCGCATTATGAAATCGTGAATGTCATTATTGAGCGTTTTTAATATTTATATGTGATTAGGCTGATGAAGACGCAGACGCTCATGGTGACGATGGAAACAACGCGGAAACTCAACAGACGGAAAAAAACATGGATGATCGGAGTCAACACCCTCTCGAACACGAAACAATTGAAAAAACGGGCTCGAAACGTAAATCAAACGTAAACGCAAAATCCGATGATGACCATTCCAAAGTATTGAAACGTGCGTTAGAAATAATGCAGAAGGAGCCAGACGAGAATGACCGTTTCGGAGAATACGTGATCATGGAGCTCAAGAGTTTGCGGTTTGATTCTAATAGGAGAAGACTAAAATCTGAAATTAGAAGAGCGATAGCTCGTATTGCCGACGAAGACGATACCAATGACTCTACTTCCGTATCTATAGTACCCTCGCCATATCCATCACCACAGCTGTATCATGCGCCATGTCCATCGCCGTATTCAGTGCCATCACCATCTCCATCGCCATCATCAATAACACACCCACAGTTAGCCGGCATTTTCACACAGGATATGATACACCAATACAATCAAACATCTACATCAAATATGACTTTTGATAAGCAAACTGACTTCCTACAGCTGTAAAGCTTATTAACATTTTTTTTTTCATGGCCACGTCTTCGTGTCATTTAATTGATTAATATAACCATTTAATTTACCTTTAAATATTCTGTCTTCAGGACATTATATATAGCTCTAGTTGTTTCAGTCACTATTCGACTGATTGTACAAACAGGTATCCGAAATAAGAATTGTAAACTGCTGTAAGAATCACCTGAGACACATTCGTACAAAACTTAGAAGCCAGATATTTTATCCACATTTAAACCACAAGCTTATATACATCGATCGAGATTTCAACCTGAACAAAAATTTCACAGATTTTGGTTGCAAAACAATCACAACGATTCTGTAAACGGTGATACTGATTTCTTTTCCAATTGATTTCATATTCTGGGGATTCAAAATACTGCATGAATATGAAGAAAAAAAATGAAAATGGAACAGAATTTGTATTTTTTGAAACTCTTTCAATGAAATCGATTTATAATTTTTTTCAACAGAGATCTTCAAATTTTTAGCCAAGTACAAATTTCGATCGATGCATTTGACCTTAATTAGCGAATAATGTACGTTCAGTATTAAAATGTGCTGTGAATACTGTTAACTTATATTTGAATCTCACTATCGCTACAATAAAGTGAAAAAAAAATGAATAATTGCGAGAAGTTAAATTTTTGAACGTTATCCATGTATCCCAATTACAACTTCAAAACAGTTATAAATATTATACGTATTTTTATACCAACCGGATGCTAAAAAGCGAAGGGTTACCAGTACGCGTTCTCTAACTGGAATAGCCTGTCTCATTGGCGTATCTTTTTTTGCGATGGTTGGACCAACTAATTGTATTAGTTCTTCCAATTGCACTGCGGTCATTCGAATAAAATTCCGAAATTGGCACTGATCCTCGATTTCCAATTCACAAACAAGATTGTTAGTGACGCCAAGTTCTTGTCTTCGCGATACCCATGATTTGACCCAGCAGCTTCTTTTAGTTTTTTTCTTTTTTTTAAGAATTTCCAATGCAACTATTATTGCTGCAGCGGTTCGTTGCTCGTGAGAAGACATCTCGAACGATACTGACACGAGTTGTGATGGAATGATACTGCGAGTTGTATTCATAAACTACTGATGCTCTCTAGTGGACATGGGCCTGAGAGTAATTCGCGACAGCAACTCTCCAGCCACTGTCTACACTGCTCGCGAGAGTGAAACTTACAAAAAAATACTCTCACATGAAAACAGTCCTGAGAGTACTCTTGAGAGCAACTCTCAGAATTTTCTCTCACGTGGACAGGCACCTTAATACAGGTTCAACCTCCTCCCCCTAAAGTTAAGATATCAACATCAATAATATAAAAAAAGAAGAGGCGTGCGGCATAACTTATTTTATTACTAATTATTACACTAATAATGTATTTTGGATTCGCCCACGCCATCCGCCACCGCCCGTCGACATTTATTCAATCGCACTCGGTAACCTTCGTATATTTTCGTAACGTATCGGCACGGTATTATTATGTACTAGTGGCCCGCCCTCGCTTCGTTTCGGTGTAGAGCTGTAGTGTAAACTATAGTTTTCGTTCTCAGGCTTGTGCTATAAAGAATGACTTTATTTATATAATTACACGTGTTATTGTGTGTTGTGTTATGTGAGTCAACCATAAGAGCTAGACATATGCTGTTGCAGGATATTTTTTGGACAATTTTATGTAGAATATTTCCGTCATACATGATTTCTATGTAACTTTAACCATTAAGGCTGCACCCGCGACGGAAGCTTAAAAATGGAGTAACTTCTCCCGTTTTCCCAACATTTCTCTTCACTACTCTGCTGCTATTGATTGTAGCGTGATGAAAAGTATACTATAACCTGCCCAGGAGTATGAAGAATAATTGTACCAAGTTTCGTTTAAATCCGTTGAGTAGTTTTTGTTTCTATAAGGAACATACACACAGACAGACAGACAGACAAAAATTTTACTGATTGCATTTTTAGCATCAGTATCGATCACTAATCGCCTCCTGATAGTTATTTTAAAAATATATTTCATGTACAGAATTGACATCTCTACAGATTTATTATAAGTATAGATTGTCACCGGTTGAATAACGATAGGAATTCTATGAGACGTTCGATACAATTCATTCATGCAGAATAAGAAAATAGTCAATAGTCATATTTCGATTGCGTTTCAATTGCGATTCGTATAAGTATTGCTAGTAAAATTGGCCTTCAGGTATATTTAACAGATTTTATGAAAGTAGTTAAGCAAACATTGTAATTTGCAATAAATTATCCATTATTTGATACAGGTCTTTGATGCGGATTTTTGTTAAATTATCTAAAATATTTTTTAAAATAACATAAATATTTAAATTGTATTACCTCTTTGTCTCATTTATTTGTAATGTATTTTTTTATTACAGGGTACGAGGAAACGGAAAAAAACAAAAGAATAACCGTTAAGCTTAAAGGTATGGAGTACTGAAAAAAAGGGTGTGGTCAAGCGACTTCTCGTAAAGACTCTTCTTTGGGACTAACTTGTTTTCATGGCGACAATAAGATTGAGATGATAAGCGAGCCTTCGACCTCAATTGCAGTATCGAATGTCGAGACCGAGTCGGCGATGCCCTGTTTTACGCCTAGGAGTACCGAGCCAACATTTAGCCTGGAACCAACAAGCAGCAGCACCAGCAGGCCAATTATGCTCGCTAATTGTTTTGATGTCAATTTCACATTACACATTATGCTCTCCGAAAAATTCGATATCAAAATGACATTAAGTTGACATCAACTTTAAAATGATATCAACTTAAATGCGTATTACGTTCAACTTTTTGACCTAAAACAGTATCGCATAAACGTCAAAAATGTGATACAAACGTGATACAGAATTAACAAGTTAGTAGGTCGTTTTCCTGTATCAAATTCCTTTTTTTTAATAAAAAAGAGTAAAAGGGCTCGTTTCGGGTTGGTAATGGACTATTTAGAGCGTGCTCATGCCGAGGACATGCGTAGGTTGAGAAGAAAACGCAAAATGTTAAGAGAATTAGGTGACGCGTTTGACCTTCCCGACAAGCCGTTTGTAGATAGGTATCGCCTCACAAAACCCCTTGTACGGGGTTTAATAACCGAACTACAGCCCTTCTTAAAATCGACCCGTAGAAGAGATATAATTAGTGATGAAACTAAGGTATGTATAACACTAAGGTACATTTCAATATATGTAGAGCTACCTGGCACCAACGCTTTTTATACTTAATAAATTTTCAGGCTGTAATTACAGTTTCACTTGTTGCAGGTGCTCACTGCGTTGGCGTTTTACGCAACCGGTTCCTATCAGAGGATCGTCGGTGAAGGTGCACATATAGCAATCTCTCAACCTACAGTGTCCAATATAATCCGCGTAGTGACAAACGCCCTCAACACTCCCGAAATATATTGAATTTCCACTTACACTTGAAGAAAGGGATAAAGTGAAAAGAGAGTAAGTTGTTGTTGCCCGCGTAAAATTAAATATCATTTTATTTTGCCATAACAATAAAATATTTTACTTCTGCATGTAACTTTGTACTGGTAAAAGAATTTTTAAATTTAGTTTACTAGTTAGTTATCGGGCACAAATAAACATATAAGTAATATTATTATAGATTAACCACTGCACTTATTTATTTTCAGATTTTATAATGAATGTGGTATTCATGGAGTGATTGGATGTGTAGATGGGACACATATTGCAATTATATGACCTACAAACAATGAAGAAAGGTTTTATAATCGAAAACAATATCACTCTCTCAATGTGCGTGCAAATTGTAAGTATGAATTTATTCAAAATTACTGTAGAATGACAAGATTTGTAATCATTTGTCCTACAGTGATTGGCATCTGTGATCCTTACCACACAGCTCAGCCATTGTACTTTAGCCAATGTGCTAATCAGGTCATCAACATTAATGAGATAATATCTGCTAGGCCTATTTTATAGGTCTTACTATTTAAAATTTCTTAGACCTAAATGGAGATTAAATGGTGAATCTTAATATATTGTTACAGATTTGTGATTTAAATATTCTAAGTGTTGATGCAAGTTATCCTGGGGCAACAATTGATGCAACAGTGTGGCAAATGCATCCGCTTTATAATTATTTATTAGAATGTCGTCGTACCATTGTGTACAGACCAGAAACACTGTGGGTTCTTGGTTAGTAAATAAATATCAAAAAACAATAAAAAAACTTTATTTGACATTGACAATTTCGGGTAATTTTCAACACTACATTGGATCCTAGAAGTTTTACAGCATTTTTCAACACTTTTTTTACCTACTAGCCAAAATAAAATTTCCAATATAGGTCTCTTTTAAAACATCATTTAGATAAGATTATATTAAATAATAAGTATTTAGATACCTAAATAAATGTCAGCATCCCAATACAATAATTTGAAATGTCGAACAACAACTAAACCAATAACAATATTACATGAACAAAACATTGACAGAAACTAACAAAATATGTTACAGCATGTGCATTTTTTTAGGTGACTCTGGCTATCCTCAACGTACGCACACTACGACACCAATAGTAAATACTACGGCGGGTTCAAAGGAAAGTATGTACACAAAAATGCACGTGTCGGCGCGCAATTGTGTAAAAAGGTGCATAGGTGTCCTAAAAGCTCGGTTTAGGTGTTTACTTGTAGCGAGAACATTGCATTATGATCCTCAAATGGCTGCTCGAATTGTAAACGCATGTTGTGTTTTGCACAATATTGCACATCAAGCTCGTTTGATACAGCCTGTTCTTTCTGTAGAAGAGCAGCAACATAAGCAACAACGACAAATAAACCGAATTCATCATGAAGAGGTTACTCATACCAGAGGACAAGCTAATTATGAGAGGTACCTAAAAACTCAAAATAACATTTGTTTCAAATAACATGAAAATCAATTTTATAGCTAACTTAACTTACAGTAGAAGTTTGAAAGAAGCTGTTGATCCTTAAAAAAATAATT